AGTGCAGCAAGTGCCATTTTCTGTTTGGCTAGTTTTTAAGTGGGAAATAATTATTTTACTGCCTATTAAAGGAATGCTTATTATGCAAATAAAATATTTTCATTCTAATAAGATTAAAGAATTATTGGACTGCAACTATTTATGTATATTTACTGTTTTAGCTGAGAAGTTTTGTGTAAATCTCCTGGCAGAGTAATGTGGGAAATTCAGCACATCTCAATTGCAAAATCACTGAAAAAGTGGAAACCATCTGAGCCAAAGCCAAACTGCCCTGTAAAGGGCAGTCCTGTGACAAACCGGACCTGCCGCAGTCTCACACTGCCTGATTTCACATTCCTCATCTCTCCCTCTAGCACTGACACTCTAGCACCTAAGTAGCTTTAGGCACTGGTGTGGCCACAAACTTAACAGGTAAAATAAGTGATGAGATCAGTTCCATGACCCAGCCTGTTGTCACATCATGCAAGTGACGGAGCCCTGAAAGAAAGAGGCAGAAGGATGGAGAAAAAGGTGAGACTGCAGTGGCCCCCTTTTAAATCAGACACACTAGGCCCATGAGATATAAATGAAGAAAATAGCACCTTGGTTACTGAGGGCAAACAAGGAGGTTGCCTATTTGGAAGGATCTGTGCACTGAAAGGCAAGTGTTTGTGACTATGATTAATTTGGTCAATTACGCAGGGATAAATCTGCTACTTGGAGGCGGGCTAAATTACTTTCATGATTTTGTCATGTATTTGCAGATTTTTTACATATCTAGTGGCAAGCTGAGCAGATATAAGACATTCTCATATCCATGATTAAAGGTCTTACAGCTACACATTCAGAAAGTGTGAATCCAGTTCTTAGCTCTAGGTTAGTCTTCTTCTGTGACCTTGTCTGGTGTTTCCCCTGTTTGTAAACAAAAAAACCCCAAAACACAAAAAAAGCTTCATGGCTCTGATGACAAGCTAGGAGGGCTAAATACAGCAGTCATTAGCTGATTTTGCAACAAGTACTCTGATCATGACACAAGATATGCCTTCTTTCCTCTGCAGACAAACTTGATATTTGGCTGGAAGCTCTACTCTTACAAAACACTCTCTGATTCAGCAGAGACCATGGTCAGTCTTCAGCTGGGAATCTTCAACTATGAGGAGGTACCACCTCTGATTTTGAGAAGTTTATCGCTGTGTAATTAGCAGCTCAGCTATCAAATATGCTTTGAACCAGCAAATAGAAAGACTTTCAATTAGTGCTAGACACTAATCTAACTTTGCAAGTTCCACAGGCTCCTAAAGCAGCCACCTTTTCTCATCAAGACAAGAAAAAGACACTGAGTGAAATATATCTCACATCCCATTTTGACCATCGGTAGACTCATAATGAACATTTCGTTGAGAAAGGTGCTCACATTTTAACTAGATGTGTTACTTATTGACTACTGAAAGTTTTGAGTAAATTCCTTAGAAAGCTACAGACAGAAATGTGAGTGATGCCTTGCATTTGTTCTGAACACACATCCATCAGCTTCTCAAGAAAGGCAGGGCCTTCCGCAAGGGAACTTTACATTACATTTGTTTTTATTATTCTTGACTTTTTCATTAAGTTCTTTCAAATATTACAATATCCTTTGAATGACTCTGTGGATTAAGCTAGTTCTCAGACATCCGTGACAGTGAAGTCCTCCCTGGTGGTTGTTTTTAGACCATGGATCCAACAGGGGTAGCTTTGAAGATCAGTAATTGGGCATAAAGATTTTCACCTCTATATCCCACTCATGAAAATACATTCCTATGTTATAGCTTACATGAAAATGAGGGGTTTGGGTTTTTACACAACCCTTAGTTGATATGTGTCCGTGACAGTCTGACTGGGTTTCTTTGTAAAGACACTACTAAATAAAAGCATACAGAGATTTCATCTATACTTTCAAGGCTGAGTCATGATGGAGCTTCAGCTGTTCTGTGGATAAACAGGTCTCCAGACTTGTCAACTTTCACATGAAACTTTAATACCCTTACAACCAAATGCAAACACTTAAAAAACCCCAAGGATTGACCATATTCATATAGCATATATATAAAATATTATATCATCATCTTTGTACTATATCATACCAACATAGGACAGTGACTAAAGGAGAAAATTTGTATATACATGTATAATATCTATAGAATAATTTATTAGTCACAGGGATTTTCAGAAACAAACTCCTTATTGTGCCTTAACTGCTTGTATGTTGTTTTGGTTTTTTGTTGTTTTTTTTTTTTAACAATCAAAATATGATGTCTTACCTTATTAATACTACAGGTCTTGGACTACAATCCAATTTTAGGCTCATTCTTAATTGGATCCTGCATAATTTTCATGACATTTGTGGTACTGAATCTGTTCATTTCGGTGATTCTGGTTGCTTTTAGTGAGGAGCAGAAGCACTACCAGGTGTGTTCATCTAAGCTCTCCTGCCGTTTTTAAGATTTATTGTGCAGTGCTTACTCATGGTTTAGGTATTCTACCATCAGATGAAACCCATGTAAACTCAGTCCAAGTCTTAAGAAGCCAACATTTACTCATAAAGCACACTTCAGATTTTCCAGATTTACGCTGTCCATTCCTGTTCAGATGAGTCCCTGTTCAGATTTAGTACAAGATCTGATTTGTAGCCTTCTGTTCACATACTAAATCCAGCAAAAAAGTCTTAGACTTGTGCCCCAGCTCCATTGAAATCAGTGCCAAAACTGCTACTCACTCCATGAGGACATTACAGCTCCTTTTAAGCATGTCACTGTGAGTGCCTGACCCATTCAAGCTATTGATAGCATGGTGTGAAATCCAGCTTAGTACTGCAGTACTGTCCGAAATTCCTCTACAGTGTAAAGCCAAGGGAAAAGAAAACTAAGGATATGGTCAATAGAAATCAAGATATATTTAATTTCTCTCATTTACTTCATCTAGAAATGGTGGGTAGCTCATTGTGTATACCACTAGCTGTATGGTAGCTGGCAAGTGAACTCCAGGTTCCTGTAGCAAGATTTCCATGGGCTTTGACAGAGCCACAACTTCTTCTGTAATGTCCATGCTCACCCATGCTCATCTGGGACTTTCATCTTGATAAAAATATTGGCATGATGTTTTGCTTTAGCAGTTAGTTGTGCTCTGCTTTGAGTGAAAATGGGCTTATTCCACCTCAAGTAGAGATTTTCTCTTGTGACTTTCCCTGGCTTCAGCAGAGGCTGTATCCGCTTCCGGTCTGCGCATCTGAGTAACTTACTTCTCATTATTTTAGGCTTCAGAAGAAGAGGAGATTGTTGATCTAATGCTAATGAAACTTTTCAGTTTCTTCGGGATCAAATGCAAGAAGGAAGAGAAGCCAGCCACTAACGATCAACTGAAATAACCTGTCAACGATTAAATGATAACCACAATGAAAAGTCACTTTGTGGGTGAAAGATTTACTTTTAACTATCAGCTGCAGTGGCTAGATTTAGGTTATTGTGGCTTCTGACTAAAATGCTGCGGCGTTCAACCAATAAACTTGCTGATGTTATTACGGAGTATTAGCGAAGAAATAATGCTAAATCTAAGATAAAGTGTCCTACGTGTACTTCCTGTAGACTTAGCATCTGTATTTAATAAACACTGAGCGTTTGTTGCACCGTTTGGCTAAAACCACCCGCGTTCCGCCAAGCAAGCGCCATGGAAAGATGGCGACCCCCGTGG